TCAGTGCAACCTCCACCTCCCAGGTTCAAGAGATTCTCCTGCCTCAGTCCCCCAAGTAGCTGGGATTACAGGTGTCTGCCACGATGCCCGGCTAGTTTTTTGTATTTTTAGTAGAGACGGGGTTTCACCATGTTGGCCAGGCTGGTAGCCAACTCCTGACCTCAGGTGATCCACCCACCTCAACCTCCCAAAGTGCTGGGATTACAAGTGTGAGCCACTGCCTGGTCTATTTATTTATTTCTAAAAATTTATTTCAAAAGTTTTTTGGGGAACGGGTGGTTTTTGTTTACATGAATAAGTTCTTTAGTGGTGATTTCTGAATTTTTGGTGCACCCGTCACTGGAGCAGTGTACACCGTACCCAATGTATAGTCTTTTATCCCTCACCCTCCTCCTGCCTTTTCCCCCAAGTCGCCAAAGCCCATTGTATCATCCTTATCCTTTTGCATCCTCATAGCTTAGCTTCCGTGTTAAACTTTTAGTTGGAGCTCTGAAAGGACTGTGCCCTATAGGAATAGGTGTACCAGTCAGCACTTGAATCAACCAAACTCTGAATCTAATCAACTTAATCCCTGTTTAGATTAAAACAATAGACCCCACGTCTCACTGTCTGAAACGTTAATCCACTCTAGAAGCAGATATCTTTTGAGCATTAAATATGCATTTTGCATATATTATGTATCATTAAATATGCAGACACAATAACTGTCTTCAATAAAAATTTAGCAGGCATTCCAGATTTCTTTTCACAAATCTACTTGTACTGATTAGATTTGTAAAATCTAATTGCATTCAACGGCCTCAAAACTCTGAAACCATCATTCTATGATTATTTTATCTAGTTGAGGAGATAACACACCCTCTTCTATAATAAGAGTTAATATTTACTGGGTGTTTACTTTGTGTAAGGCACAGTTCTAAGGCTAAAGTTCTTTTCATATATTATTTCTTTTGATCTTCACAGAAACCCTGTCATGCAAGTCCTAATATTATCTCTAGTTTACAGATGAAAATTTTAAAGCACAGATAATTTAAGCATCTTCTTGTTACTATTCATGGGCTAACAAGTGGCAAAATCAGGCTTTGAATCCAGCCAGCCTGACGCCAAAGTTTGTTTGTTTGTTTGTTTGTTTTTTGAGACGGAGTCTTGCTCTGTTGCCCAGGCTGGAGTGCAGTGGCATGATCTCAGCTCACTGCAATCTCCATCTCCTGGGTTCAAGTGATTCCTCTGCCTCAGCCTAACCAGTAGCTGGGACTACAGGCGCCCTTCACCACGCCAAGTTAATTTTTGTATTTTTAGTAGAGACAGGGTTTCACCATATTGGCCAGGATGGTCTCGAACTCCTGACCTCATGATCTGCCCGCCTTGGCCTCCCAAATTGCTGGGATTACAGGTGTGAGCCCTCGCACCCGGCTAAAGTTTGCGGTCTTTAACTGTAGTGGTGTAATTGTTATCAGCCTCTCTTCTGAGCTTAAGACTTGTATATCTCATGTGCCTTAAATTACTACAGGTTTATAAAGTCATGGCATCCTGTTAAGCCACGTTGTTGTTCTGTCTTGTTTTTATTGATGTGTGTCATGGTCTTTCCATTTAGAATTGCCAGTTACCTCTACACTCATAATTCACACTCCTATTAATGCCATTTATAGAAAGTGGCAATATGTTTGTCAGGGGTGGGGTAGAGAAGAATTGATGAGTAGGAAGCTCCTTAGAAAAATGTTGCCTGGTGTCCAGATGTGTGCTACGTGCATCAACATGTATTTAAAAAATAAACTAGTTTTCCCTTCTTGTTATGCTTTGAAGATGTTCTCCAAAGTTCATATGTTGAAAAGTTAATCCCTAATGCAACAGTGTTGGGAGACGGGGTCTAATCAAAGGTGATTAGGTCATAAGAGCTCTGCAGGCTTGACTGGATTAATGTCATTATCTCAGGATCTCGGAAGTGAGTTTGTTATAACAGCGAGTGTCTCTCTGTCTCTCTCTGTCTCTTTCTCTCTCTCCTTCCTTCTGTTCCTTCTGCCTTCTACCATGGGCAGAAGATGCAGCAAGAAGGCCCTCCCCATATGTAAGCCCCTTGACCTTGTACTTCCCAGCCTCCATAACTGTAAGGAGTAAGTTTCTTTTCATTATAAATTGTCCAGTCTGCGGTATTCATTATACTTTAGGATAAGATACTTTAGGATAAGATATGATAAGACGTTGTATGAGGATGGAAATAAGTATGAGAAGTATCAATTTAAGGCAAATCACGTTGAAAGACAAAATTACAGCACATTTAGCTAAAGATCTAATTGACTTTTATTCATAATTCATGAATGGCAAATCCTTCATTCTATGAAATACAATGAGAGCTCCCACTGGCCAGTGGCAGAACAGTGAATTTTGTAAGGTGGGAAAAAGGAAACAGAAAAATAGGGAAAAAAGCTGATTGGTTCACGTCAGATTACTTCCGGTTACTTTTAAAATAAGGGTTAAAGCATAGGCGACTTCCTTCTTACACTGACTCAGGTAAGGTGGGATCTCCTATTGTCAGGAAAAACTGATCTGGGGATTTTTCTGCCATCTTAAAGTTTCAGTTGGATAATGTAACATTTAGCACGAGTGACTCTATTTTGGTTTGGTCTGGTCTGTTGGGTCTAGTATAGGAGCTCAGTCCAAAACACTGGCCTTCTACAACTTTTGCTTGACAATGTTATCAAATGATCTGTATGAGTTTCTTCCCTGTGAACCTTCCTATACGGAATATTGAAGAAAGATACAATATCTGATTTAACATTGAAATTCAAAAGCAATGCCCTGGGTGAGAGACTGAAGGGATTTGCAACAGAGGTGGCCTGGAATAACAAGGTTTCCTTCTGGACTGAGACCAACAAGATAAATGTTCTCCCTTGAAGAGATGGTGTCACAGTTTAGAATCCTGAAGCACAGCCTGAGACAGGGATTCTTGTTCAAGTCATTTATTGAAAGAGAGCTTCTAGAAATAGAGAAGTGAGAAAACTGAAATACAGCAAAGGGAGTTGAGCTGGAATGTGGTCTCAGCTGGATGTAGCTTAGTCTAATTCCAGGGAGAAGTACTGGAGGGTAAACTGCACCTCAGAGTGGCTCTTTGAGGTTAGGGGGTGGTCTTTTGTACCCCCATGTCACCAAGCCATTGACTGCATTCTGCCTTCTGGGTTTGTAACCGAGCCTGCATTATGACCATTGTGAGAGATTTGTTTTCCTTATTTTCCTGTCTTCCTCCATGCATGCTGGCTTTCACATAGTCATTTTGGCAGAGGGAGTCACCAGTAATTGGCTAACTTCATATCCTAACTCCTGGGGCTACCCTCAGGGTTAATGAACTTGTTCTTTCAAAGAACAGTGGTCCATGGGGCTGGGTATGGTGGTTCATGCCTGTAATCCCAGCACTCTGGGAGGCCAAAGCAGGAGGATCACTTGAGCCCAGGAGTTTGAGACCAGCCTGGTCAACATGGTGAGATCCTGTCTCTACAAAATGTTTTTAAAATTAGCTGGGTGCCAGGCACGGTGGCTCACGTCTGTAATCCCAGCACTTTGGGATGCCGAGGTGGATGGATCATAAGGTCAGGAAATCGAGACCAGCCTGGCCAACATGGTGAAACCCCGTCTCTACTAAAAATACAAAAAAATTAGCTGGGCGTGGTGGCACGTGCCTGCAATCCCAGCTACTCAGGAGACTGAGGCGGGAGAATTGGTTGAACTGGGACCTGGAAGACAGAGGTTGCAGTGACCCGAGATCATGCTACTGCACTCTAGCCTGGGCTACAGAGTGAGACTCTGTCTCAAAAAAAAAAAAAAAAAATTCACTGGGCATGGTGGTGCACGCCTCTAGTCCTAGCTATTTGGGAGGCAGAGGCGAGACGATCACTTGAACCCAAGAGTTCCAGAATACAGTGAGCTATGATCATGCCACTGCACTCCAGCCTGGACAACAAAACGAGATCCTGTCTCAAAAACAAACAAAAAAGAACCCGATTCTTAGGTCGCACAGACCTCCTTGATGGCATCCAGAAGTTTGACCAGGCCCAAAGTTGCAATCAGTTTTGATTATTAGGGGATCTCGCCTCCCACACTTCCTCATAAAAGCCCCGTTATGTTCACAGGCAGGTCAGATCTGAGAGACTTTGTCTCCTGCCCTCTCACTTTGGCCAAATGGGACAATCCTTTCTCTACTGCTGAGCGCTGAAGTGTCAGTGTTTGGCTGACTGCACGTTGGGAATGTGAACCTAAGTTTTGGGGTTCCACAACAAGTTGGGGGAAGGGAGAGGGAGCTTCACCTCCGAAGTGAAGTGACTTCTGTTTGACCAAGGACAATTCTCCAGAGTAGGGGGAGCCAGCATCTCCCAACAGCATCTGAGGGATTAGTGCCCTGATGGGTAAGAAGATCTGGGAGGAAAGTTAATAGCATGCACTACAGCTGCAGGACACAGAGCTCAGGAAGGCGTGAGAAACAGTAAGGAGGACTTTCTTCCTTCTCCCCTTGAACAGAGTCCCAGGGACATGAAATATAAGGGATTTCTGGGCAAAATAGAGGGTAATTTGAGAGAAAGTCTCATGGGCAGGCCCCCAAATTCAGATTGAAAATAGAATTTCTGTAGAATTCTCTGGAATGTTTGGGCTTGGGGAAGTCAAAAGGAATGCAGTACATTGTATTTAGAAAATATCAGGACATAAGGATTTGCTCAAATTTCCTATGGATCTGAGAATACGTTTGAGGGGTTTTTATATCCATCATTGGCCCACAAAGAATAGCTTTGAGCTTTCATGCATACTCAAAACGAGACCCTTTAGGAACGAGGTTATATGCGTCAGAGGCATTTTCAGGCTCTAGCCGTCAAGGGCGAGAGGATGAATACAATTCTATTGGGTCTTCCTTTCCTGGGAACTACTGAATGAGAAACTGTGCCATCTTCCAGAGTAAAGGCATCAGCTAAGACAATCCACCAAGAGGCCATCAGCAGCTGAGGTTAGAGCAGACCTACCCTTTCTCTGGGTTTCCTGTAGTTATGTCCGTTGCATAGGTTGTAAAATTCAGCATCGTGGAGAGAAGAGGGTGGATAAAGCTCAGATACGAAATTCTAATCTGGACAAGAAAACAATTAATGACATTCAATTTATTTTATTAACAAAAGACATGTACATGGTCTTTTTTAAAGAATAAAAAATCAACTTACTTAATTTCATAACATAACTAAGAGGTAGTTGGTATTATCCCCATTTTACAGACAAGGAATTAGCACGGATATGTGAGGAAATAACTTGCTAAGGGCACATTGCAGAAGATGACCTGGAACTGCACCCAGGCAGTGTGTCTCCAGAGCCTGGGCTGTTAACCAGAAAACTATATTGCCTGTTGTGACAAAATAAAAAATAAAGATTTGGTCTTTGTCTAGGTTCTTGGCACACAACTCCAAAATGCTTGGATTCTCCAGAGTAAGGAGTGTCTTTTGCATGCGAATGAGATAAATAGTGGCTGGGGGCCCCTAGGTAGCTTCAGGATGAGGGTTGGTCACTGGAAAGACCAAGACATGATTAGAGGGTTGGAATTTTTAGCTCCACCCCGACCTCCAGGGAGGCAAGTGGGACTGTAGATTGAGCTAATCACTCAGATCAATGATTTAATCAATTATGCCTAAGGAATAAAACCTGTCAGTGAGTTTCCAGGTGAGCTAATACTTTAAAGTGCTGGGAGCATGGCACACTCAGGGCCTGAGAGTTCTGCACCATCCACTCCCGCCTCCCCATTTCTTGCTCTATACATCTCTTTCATTTGGCTGTCCTAAGTCGTATCCTTTATAATAAACCAACAAATCTAAGTAGTGTTTTCTGAGTTCCGCAACCATTTTAGCAAATTATTCAACCTTTGGAGAGGGTCGTGGGAACTCCCCAACTTATAGCCAGTTGGTCAGAAGTGCAGGTGGCAGTTGAGACCTTGTGACTGGCACCTGAAGTGGCGGCAATCATATGGGTCTGAGCCCTTTAACTTGTGAGGCCTGATGCTGCTACTGTTGTCTGCTGGTCAGTTCAGGTTCTTGACTTCACCGCACAAAAGAATTTGAGAGCCGGGTGCAGAGTAAAAGTAGGCAAAGGAGTTTACTGCAGAGCGAAAGTGCACTCTGAAAGCTGGGTCAGAGTTGGCAGCTTGAGAATGAGACAGCCCAGACTGGCGACTGGCGCTGGGAAACTCCCTTTGTGGGAGTCTGCCATGATTATTCACGAGGACGTGGAAAGGGGTATTGTTGTTAAGCATGCTGTGGGTGGTCTCCTAGATGCACATGTGCTATTGCTGTACATACGAGTACATACATCACATGTCTTACGGGTATTTTATTTTGTTGATTTTTAGAATGTTTTCTAAATTTCAATAGTTTTGGGGGTACACATGGTTTTTGGTTACATAGATGAAATCTTTAGTGGTGAATTCTGAGATTTTAGTGCGCCCATCACTCAAGCAGTGTACACTGTACTCAATATATAGTCTTTGCAGTCTTTTTTTTTTTTTGAGACGGAGTCTTGCTCCTTTGCCCAGGCTGGAGTGCAGTGGTGCGATCTCAGCTTACTGTGACCTCTGCCTCACAGTACGTGATTCTCCCGCCTCAGTCTCCCGAGTAGCTAGGACTACAGGCGCCCACCACCACGCCCGGCTAATTTTTGTTTTTGTTTTTTTTTTAAGTATAGATTGGGTTTCACATGTTAGCTAAGCTGGTCTCGAACTGCTGACCTCAGGTGACCTGACTGCCTCGGCCTCCCAGTGCTGGGATTGCAGGCGTGAACCACCCCCACAACAGCCCTATATGTAGTCTTTTATGCCTCACCCCTCTCCCACCTTCCCCATCCCCTGAGATCCCAAAGTCCATTGTATCACTATGTATGCCTTAGCTATGTACCCCATAGCTTAGCTCCTGCTTATAAGCGAGAACTTGCAATATTTGGTTTTCCGTTCCTGAGTTATTTCACTTAGAATAATGGCCTCCAGCTCTATCCAAGTTGCTGCAAAAAACATGATTTCGTTCCTTTTTATGGCTGAGTAGCATTCGATGGTGCATATCTACCACATTATCTTTATTCACTCGTTGGTCAACGGACGCATAGGTTGGTTCCGTATCTTTGCAATTTCAAATTGTCCTGTTGTAAACATGCATTCCACATCTCTCTCTCTTTTTTTTTTGAGACGGAGTCCCGCTCTGTTGCCCAGGCTGGAGTGCAGTGGCCGGATCTCAGCTCACTGCAAGCTCCACCTCCCGGGTTTACGCCATTCTCCTGGCTCAGCCTCCTGAGTAGCTGGGACTACAGGCGCCTGCCACCTCGCCCGGTTAGTTTTTTGTATTTTTTAGTAGAGACGGGGTTTCATCGTGTTAGCCAGGATGGTCTCGATCTCCTGATCCACCCGTCTCGGCCTCCCAAAGTGCTGGGATTACAGGCTTTAGCCACCGCGCCCGGCCCTTTTTTTTTTTTTTTTTTTTTTTTTTTTTTTTTTTGAGGGAAGTCTTACTCTGTCGCGAAGGCTGGAGTGCAGAGTGGCGTGATCTCTGCTCACCGCAAATTTCCGCCTCTAGGTTCAAGCGATTCTCCTACCTCAGCCTCCTGAATAGCTGGGATTACAGGTGCACGCCGACACACTCAACTGATTTTTGCATTTTTGGTAGAGAAAAGGTTTCGCCCTGCTGGCCAGGCTGGTCAAAATGTCGCTGATGCATCGTCTTCCACCGCTAGAGGGCAGCATCCTGAGAATCCGTTTCCAAAGGACTGGAATTGCGCTTTTAGAGGTCACAGACCCTATTGGTAAACAAATAAATGCTATGGACTCTTAATTTTTAGGGCATTTTCTTATGTTTACGGGTTCTTCTATATTCAGAATTTTAAAATATCATTCTCACCAGGAATTGGAACTTACTGAGAAAGAAGGGAGTGAAAGAATTTCTGAGCCAGTGGGAAGCCTGGCCATGTAGTGCAGTGTAATGAAAACTAGGATTCCAGGGGCAAATAAGGGTAAGTGCTGCTCCTGAAGCGGGGAGTAATTAAAAGAGGACAATCGCTACCTTAGGTGGAAGGTTGGTGAGTTTAGCCCATGCGATAATATGTGTGCTTTTCTTTTGCGGTTAGGGGTTAAGCAGCAAAATGCTTCAAACTTCAATTTAAGAAGAAAAAGGTGAGAACACTTGGGACATTATTTTCCTTGGTAACTAATTCTGTTTTCCTAACCCCAATTTGATTTTTTTGGTTATGTAGTGTTTGGCTTCCCCTAGGGGCTTCTCAAGACATATCGGGCCAGTTTTCACTAGATTCCCACTGTGACATTATGTTGTCCATGTAATAGTTCAACAATCAGACTCAGATTTGCCTAACATGAAACTTCATTGCTGTATCTCACATTAAATTCTGATTCTTCCCAAATATAACCTGCCTTCTTCTCAAGATAACATATACTTGGCCCTTTCTGGAAAAGAAAATGTTCTTTCCAGACAATTCTTGATTTTAAAAAATCCATAAAAGACTGGGTGTGGTGGTTCAGGCCTGTAATCCCAGCACTTTGGGAGGCTGAGACCCCAAAAGAGAAACACACATATTATCTCATGGGCTAAACTCACCAACCTTTCACCTAAGGTAGTGATTGACCTCTTGTAATTGACCCCCGCTTTAGTAACAGCATTTACTCTCATTTCCCCCCTGGGGTCCCAGTTTTCATTACACTGCAGTGCATGGCCAGGCTTCCTACTGACTCAGAAATTCTTTCACTCCCTTCTTTTTCAGTAAGTTCCAATTCCTGCTGAGAATGATATTTCAAAATTCTGAATATAGAAGAACCTGTAAACATGAGAAAATACTCTAAAAATTAGGAGTCCATGGCATTTATTTGTTTACCAGTAGGGCCTGTGACCTCTAAAAACTCAATTCCAGCCCTTTGGAAACGGATTCTGAGGATGCTGCCCTCTAGCGGTGGGAGAGGATGCATCAGAGACATTTTCAGGCTCCATCCATTTCCAGCTTTGGGAAAGAAACTGTGTTCCATATTTAATAGGACAGACTTTCTGTCCAGTGATGCCTCTGTAAGGCATAAAGTTGTCTTATAATTATTTCTTACTTAGACTATGTCTCTGTCAATTCAAGTTGTTACAACGTCATACCACAGACTCAATGTCTTATAAACAACGGAAATTTATTTCTCACAGTTCTGGAGGCTGGAGGTCTGAGATCTAGATGCCAGCATGGCTGGGTTCTGCTGAAAGGTCTCTTCCAAGTTGCGGGCTGCTGATTCCTTGTAGTATCCTCACATGGTAGAGAGAGGGCGAGAGAGCTCCCTGGGGTACATTTTAGAAGGGCACTAATCCCTTTCATGAGGGCCCCATTCTCATGAGATAATCACCACCCTAAGACCCTACCACTTAATGCCATGACGTTGTGTGGGGGTGGGGTTGTGATTTCAACATAAATTTGGGGGGACACAAGCATTCTGCTTATTGCACACCATTGCCATACCTTAGATATTCATCTTTTGAGCTGAGGCATTAAACGAGGGAGTGAATGAAGCTGAGCTTTTATTACAATAATTAAATGGGCACCTGGGAAGTCCAATCAAGCTGTAAGTGCCCACTTCTTTTACCTGAAAAGCCAGTCCTGATTTCCTAATTTAACCCTGCTCAGATGACCGAGAGATACATGGGTCTTTATTGACCCCAAAGCATCTAGCACAGTCGATGTGTCTGTAGAAATTAGGAGAAAATTTTTCCAAATACTTCCTGAATGTCTTCTGACGTCCACATCCTAGTCCTAGTCCCATAAATACTATTTGCTTGAGAAAATCCATGTGATAATCTTGAGGCAAGACAGGTAGTCAAGGAAGTGACCATGTTCTTGGGATGCAGCAACCTTGGTGGCCATACAATCAACACAGTAAGCCTCAGTATTCACGTTGTAATAGAGCTTATTCAAGCAAAGCTCTCTTCAGGCGAGGATTTCCTTCCTAGAGAGAATGTGCATTTTTATTTTGCCTGTCCTCAAGCAGACCTGTTGATCATTACAATAGTAAAAAACACATCTCTGGGTGGAGATTTAAGATGCTAATGAGACACGTGATGTATGAACAAGCATGTACAGCTACTGTGCATGTGCACCCAGAGGACCACCCAGAACACGCTTATTAGTAACATCTTTTCCCACCTCCTTATGCATAATCATGTAAGCCTCCCAGAAACGAGGTTTCTCCAGCAGTACCCAACGCTGTCTCATCCTCATGAATAGCCCCCTCTGATCTCTCTCTCTTAGGGTGTACTGTCTATTCTGCACTTAACTTTCAAAGTATTCTTTTCTTTTGCAATAAATTACTCTATGCTGCATCTCTTTTGCTGTGTGTCTCTTGTTTAAATTCTTTTTTCTTAAATCAACTTTTATTTTAAGTTCCGGGGTGCATGTGCAGGAAGTGCAGGTTTGTTACATAGGTAAATGTGTGCCATGGCGGTTTGCTGCACAGATCATCCCATTGCCTAGGTATTAAGCCCAGCATTCATTAGCTATTCTTCCTGATGCTCTCCCTTCCCCTGCCCCCCTGACAGGTTCCAGTGTGTGCTGTTCCTTCCCCTGTGTCCATGTGTTCTCATCATTTACCTCCCACTTATAACTGATAACATGCAGTGTTTGGTTTTCTGTTCCTGCATTAGTTTGCTGAGGGTAACGGCTTCCACCTCCATGCCTGTCCCTGCAAAGGACATGATCTCACTCCTTTTTATGGTGGCATAGTATTCCATGGTGTATATGTACCACATTTTCTTTATCCAGTCTATCATTGATGGGCATTTGGGTTGATTCCATGCCTTTGCTATTGTGAACAGTGTTGCAGTGAACGTAAGTGTGCACGTATCTTTATGATAAGAATAATTTATATTCTTTTGGGTATATACCCAGCAATGGGATTGCTGGGTCAAATGGTATTTCTGGTTCTAAATCTTTGTGGAATTGCCACACTGTCTTCCACAATGGTTGAACTAATTTACACTCCCACCAACAGCATAAAAGCATTCCTTTTTTTTTTCTGCATCTTGTTTAAATTCTTTTAAACTAAGAAGACAAGAACTGAGTAATCACAACAGCCGTCAACAATCTCTGTGTGTAGACAATCGACAATTTGCTGTTCTTCAGCTCCTCTGGAGCCTGAAGTTGTCAGATGAACCCTCATGGGTCAGTTGTAAGGTTAGGCAGAGCCTGGGCCAGTGTTTTGAGGCTGTATGTGTAGTGTGGTAGGTTGTGCAATATATAAACTGCCTCACTAGGAAGGGACACAGACTTATCATCAGTAACATAACATTGTATACTTTCGAAACATGCTAATAGGCTGGGCCCATTGGCTCACACCTGTCATCC